GTATTTTATATTGTCTGCAATTATTTTAAATGGAATTTCTCTTTCTCTCTCTTCCTGATGGGTTTTGTTGGTAGTATTTAGAAATGCCGATTATTCGTGTGGGTTTATTTTGTATCCTGTAACTTTGCAGAAGTTGTTAATTTTTCAATTAAGTTTTTTAGTTAATTCTCTAGAGTTCTCTAAATATACCATCATATTATCTGCCAAAAATAATAGTTTTATTTTCTTGTTGGCTATTTTTATTCCTTCATTTTTTTTTTCTTGTCTTATTCCTATAGTCAGCATTTCTAACACAATATTTCCAACACAATATTGAATAGTACTATTGTTCATGAACATCCTTGTTTCACCCCTAGTCTTATAGGGAAGGATTCAAGTTTATTCCCATTACAGATAATTCTTGCTCTTGGTTTTAGATAGATATACTTATAATTTTAAGAAATGCTCTGTTGATTCCTATACTTTCTAGTGTTTTTAATAGAATGGATATTGCATTTTGTCAAAAGCTTTTTCTGCATCTATTGATATAATCATAGAATTTTTGTTGTTTTTTTTAAGTTGATGATCCATTCTACTTACAGTTTTTCTAATATTGAATCATCCCTGCTTTCCTGTTAAAAAAAAATCCCACCTGATCATAGCATATAATTTTTGTGATATATTGCTGTAATTGCCTTGCTAGTATTTTGTTTAAAATTTTTGCATCTATATTCATTAAAGAAATTGGTCTATAGTTTTCTTTGTTTTTGCTCTCCCTGGTTTAGCTGTCTAAATCATATTTGCGTTGTAACAGAATTTGGTAGAACTCCTTCTTTACCTATTTTTTCAGATGGTATTGTAATTGTTCCTTAAATGTTTGGTAGAATTAATTTGTAAATCGATCTGGTCCTGGGAATTTTTTCTTAGGGAATTCATGTATGGGTTTTTCAATTTCTTTTTCTAAGATAGGTTTATTTTTTGAGTATTCTATTTCCTCTAAAGTTAATCTGGGCAATTTATATTTTTATGAATATTCATCCATTTTACTTAAATTGTCAGTTGCACTGTCATATAATTGGGCAAAATAATTCCTAATAATTACTTTAATTTCATCTTCATTGGTGGTACATTTATTCTTTTCATTTTTGTTACTGCCAATTTGGTTTTCTTCCTTCTTTTTTAAAATAAAATTAACCAAGGATTTATCTATTTTATTGTTTTTTCCCATAAATCAAGCTCCTACTTTTATTTATTAGTTCAATTTTTTTACTTTCAATTTTGTTAATTTTTAATTTTTTAGCATTTCCATTTTGCTGCCCAATTGGGGATTTTTAATTTGTTCTTTTTCTAGTTTTTTGTTTTTTTTTAGTGTCATGCCCAATTCATTGTTCTGTTCTTTCTGTCTTTTATTGATGTACATGTTTAGAGATATACATTTTCCCCTAATAAAGCTTTGGCTGTATCCCACAAGTTTTGGTATGTTGTCTCATTGTCATTTTCTTTAATGAAATTATTGATTGTTTCTATAATTGTTCTTTAACCCACTCATTCTTTAGGATTAGATTATTTAGCTTCTAGTTAATTTTAATCTATGTTTCTACCACCCTTTACTGAATGTAGTTATTGCTGCATTTTGGTCTGAAAAGGATGAATTTAATATTTCTGCTTTTCTACATTTGTTTGTGAGGTTTTTATGTCCTAATACATGGTCAGTTGTTATGAAGGTGCCATGTACAGCTGAGAAAAAGGTGTACTCCTTTATATTGCCATTCATTTTTCTCCAGAGGTCTATCATGTCTAACTTTTCTAAGATTTTATTCATCTCCTTAATGTCTTTTTAAAATTTATTTCATGGTTAGATTTGTATAGTTCTGAGAGGGAAAAGTTGAGGTCCCCCACTAGTTTTATTGTCTATTTCCTCCTCTAATTCATTTAAATTTTCCTTTAAGAATTTGGATCAGTGCCATTTGGTGCATTTATGTTTAGTATTGATATTTCTTCATTATCTCTGATGACTTTTAGCTAGATGTCGTTTCCCTCCTCTCTTTTAATGAGGTCCATTTTTGCTTTTGCTTTGTCTGAAATCATGATTGTTACCTCTGCCTTTTTTTTTTTAGTTCAGCTGAAGCATAACAGATTCTGCTCCAGCCCCTTATTTTATCTCTATGTCTCTCTGTTTCAAGTGTGTTTCTTTTAAACAACATATTATTGGATCCTGGTTTCTAATCCATTGTGCTGTCAACTTCCATTTTGTGGGTGAAATCATCCCATTCACATTTACAGTTATGATTACTAACTATGCATTTCTGTTACCCATCTCGCTCTCTCTTTTTATCTTATCTCTCCTCTAAAGTCGGTTTTGCTTCCAACCACTGTCCTCCTTTATCAGCCCTCCCTTTTATCACCCTCCCCCCTTTCTTTTTTGCCTCCTGCTTCCCTGTTGGGTAAGATAGATTTATAAACCCAATTGAGTGTGTATATATATATATTTTCCCCTGTTTGAACCAATTTAGATGAGAGTGAGGTTCAAGCATTGCTCACCCCCACCCAAACCATTATCCTCTCCACTGGAAAAGCTCTTCCTTTTATGCCTCTTTTATGTGAGATAATTTCCCCCATTCTTCCTCTCCCCTCTCCCCTCCCCCCTTCTATCAGGGCATCCTTCTTTCTCACTCATCCATTTTTTTAACATTATCTCAACATAATAAACTCACTCCCATGCCCTCTGTCTATGTAGAATCCTTCTACCAACCCTAATAATGACAAAGTTCTTAGAAGTTACATATATCTTCTTCCCATATAGGAATGTAAACAGTTTACCTTACTGATATCCATTATGATTTCTCTTTGATGTTTACCTTTTTATGCTTCTTTTGAGTCTTGTATTTGAAAGTCATATTTTCTATTCAGCTCCGGTCTTTTCATCAGGAATTTTTTGAAGTCCTCTATTTCATAAAATGTTATTTTCCCCACTTAAGGATTACACTCAGTTTTGCTGGGTAGGTGATTATTGGTGGTAATCCTATCTCCTTTGCCTTCCAAAATATCATATTCCAAGCCTTCTACTCCTTTAACATGGTAGCTGCTAAGTCTTGTGTGATCCTGACTGTGGCTCCAGGATATTTCAATTATTTCTTCCTGGCCGCTTGAAGTATTTTCTCTTTGACATAGGAGCTCTAGACTTTGGCTATAATATTTACCTGGGAGTTTTCATTTTGGGATCTCTTTCAGGATCCTTAATAATTTCTTTTTTTTTTTTGGCAATTGGGGTTAAGTGACTTGCCCAGGGTCACACAGCTAGTAAGTGTCAAGTGTTTGGTCTGAGGCCGGATTTGAACTCAGGTCCTCCTGACTTCAGGGCCAGTGCTCTATCCACTGTGCCACCTACCTGCCCCCTATAATTTCTTAAAATATGTTTTCTAGGCTCCTTCTTTGATCATGGCTATCAGGTAATCCAATAATTCTTAAACTATCTCTTCTTAGTTTGCTTTCCAGGTCAGTTGTTTTTCTGATGAAATATTTCATGTTTTCATTTTTTTCATTATTTTGACTGTTTTATTGTTTCCTGATGTCTCATTGAATCATTAGCTTCCACTTGCCTAATTCTATTTTTTAAGGAATTATTTTCTTTAGTGAGTTTTTGAAACCACTTTTTCCCCCAATTTGGCCAGTTCTGCTTTTTAAAGAGTTATTTTCATCAATGAAGTTTTGTACCTCTCTTTCCATTTGGCCAATTCTGGTTTATAAGGTATTATTTTCTTCAGTGTTTTTGTGCCTCTTTTACCAAGCTGTTAATTTTCTTTTCTTGACTTTCTTACATTGCTCTCATTTTTTATTCAATTTTTCCTCTACCATGCCATTTCATTTTTTTTCCTTTGAAACTTTGCATGTAGTTGTTTGGTCATCATTGTCTTCTTCTGAATTTGTGTCTTATTCTTCCCTGTAATCCTAATAGCTTTTTATGGTCAAGTTCTTTTTTTGTTGTTTGCTTATTTTTCCAGCCTATTTATTGACTTTGAACTTTATTAAATTTATGCTCTATTCCTGGTGTGGGAATGGGATAGGAGGTGAGGGATAGTCCAAAACTTCGAGCTTTTTCATGCTGCTATTTTCAGAGCTAGTTCTGGTGGCTTGGAAGTTTTCAGTACTTCCAAGGTGATGTGATTTGGGAAGTGGTGTGATCACTGCCCTCCTCATCTGTGCTCTGGTCCTTACCTAGGAGGGGCACCGATCCCTTAGCATTTCAATAGATACGACTCCTCAGGGCTCCTGCTCCATTGTGACCAAAAGTTCATCTTTCTACTCTTCAGCTTTGACCCAGGGTACAGGCAGTGAAGTTGCCAAATAGCGTCTGGTCCTACATCCTGTGCTAGCACAGAGTCCCCTGTAATCTCTTTCTGACCAGTTACCAGGTCCTCTTACCATATCTGGCTTGAGAGCTCCCAAAGCTGCTGCTGCTTCCGTGTCCACCGTCTAGTTCCACCAATGCTTTTGTATCCACGTGGGCTTCGAGTCAGCCTCACTTGTGTCACAGATCTCTCCTTCCAACCTCCTAAGTTTTCTTGGGCTTAAAGAATATCTCACCCTGACCTTTTGTTGGCTTTGCTGCTCTAGCATTCAATTTGAGGCATTATTTCAAAGTTGTTTGGAGGGGAATGTTGGAAGAGCTTGGCTGAGTGCTGCCTCTATTCTGCCATCTTGTCCACACTCGCTCTGAACATCCTGTGATTCTGCATTTGACCTTTAGAAACTGGTCATGGTTCATCCGGCAAAGTGGGAAACCACTCTGAGACAGCTTTGCCTCTTTGAGATGGGCCTAGTTAGGAGGATTTTATTATGTGCTCTCGTATAGTTCAGATCTTATTGCTGAAACAGGACTAACTCTATGCAATAAAACCCAGCTAGAATATAGTTATCATACGAAATATTTGTCCCTGTCCCACAGCTGCAGTCTGCAGTGTGAGAAAGGAATTTCACTGTATAGCTAAAATCCTTTTTTTTTTTTCAATTTTCATTTATAGAAGTCTGTACAGATTAGAACCGAAGCTGGACCTCGACTCTACCTTGACCCTCCTCCTGACTCTGCTGAGGATTTTGAAAGACACCAGCGTGTGAACATCAAGACAAAGGATATTCCTAGGGATTTTCCCCAGGTATGAATCTGCCATGGCATGAAACTAATGGTCATGCTTAGTAATCATAATAATGGCAGCTCACATTTTTATAGTGCTTTAAGTTTAGGTATTGTGTTTACATCACAGAAGTCAGTTCTTACTCTGATAATTACATAGGAAAGCCTTTGACTAGCTAGAGGCATTTCAAACTTCTAACTTTCCACATATAATGCTTTTGTCTTTCTGGATTTCCATCTCATTTTTTTTTTTGTTTTGGTTTTGTTTTTGTTAGGCAATGGGGTTAAGTGACTTGCCCAAAGTCACTCAGCTAGTGAGTGTTATGTGTCTGAGGCCAGATTTGAATTCAGGTCCTCCTGACTCCAGGGCCGGTGATGGTAATATATGGAAATGCCAATGATTTATGTGGTTTTATTTTGTAACTTGTAACTTTGCTAAAGTTGTTTATTATTTCAAGTAGTTTTTTACTTGATTCTCTAGGATTCTCTAAGTGTATCATCATATGGGAAAAAATCTTTACTTGGCTCTGACATCCCCTCAAGCTATTGTCCTCTATCTCTCCTTTCTTCTGCCATACTCTGAGAGAAAAACCATCTATACATTGTCTTTACTTCCTCAGATCCCATTCACTTTTTAACCCCTTCTCATCTCATGTTCATTTCTACTATGTGTCTCAATCTGCTCTCTCCAAAATTACCATTGATGTCTTCGTTGCTAAGTTGAATTGTCTTTTCTCAATCCTGATCGTCTTTGACCTCTCTGTAGCATTTGACAATGCTGCTCACTCCCGCTTCCTCAATACTCTCTCTTCCATGGGCAATCATGACCCTGCTCTCTTTTACTTTTCCTGTCTAACCATTCCTTCTCAGTCTTGTTTGATGGGTTACTATCCATATCCCGTATTCTAACTGTGGGGGTTCACCAAAGCTTTGTCTTGGGCCCTCTTCATTTCTCTTTCTTCATTCTATCTTGGTGATCAATCTCATTAGTCCCCATAGATTTTCCTCTCTCTATGCAGATGACTCCTAAATCTACGTATCTAGTCCACTTTTCTCTTCTGAGCTACAGTTCCCTATCACCAACTTCCTGTTGTATGTATCCATCCAGAAGTCCCATAGGCTTCTCAAATCCAGCATGTCCAAAACAGAACTCAGGCTCATGGATGGAGAACTGGAAGGGACCTCAGACACCATCTACTCCAACCCTCATTTTACAGCTGAGGAAACTGAGCAAAAGTGAAGTGACTTGCCCGATGTCATTTGGCTAGTAAGTATCGAAGGTGTGTTGGAGCTCAGGCCCCTGCCTCCAGAGCTAACTTTCTTTCCACCAAAGTATACCTTTTTCATTATCTTTCCTCTAGAACCCATGCCTCTGCTCGACTTCTGGACAGCCCTCCTTTCACCCAGATTGTAACCTGAAAACTATCTACTGCTCCTCATTCTCCCATGCCCCTCATATCCATTGACTTAGCAGATCTTGTTGATTCTGCTTCAACTACCTCTCTCACATTTGTCTCCTTACCACTCCCCTGAGCACCACCCTAGTTTAGGCCCTCATCCCCTCTTGCCTAGATCTTCCTTTTAGCCTCCGGCTTGGCCCATACCTGTCCAAGGCATCCTCCACACACGTACTGTGTGATTGGTATTCCTAAAATATAATTCTGACCATTACTTCTCCCTCAATATGCTTCAATGGCTCCCTGTTACCTCTAGGATCAAATGCGGACACCTCTTTTGGTCACTTAAATTCCTACACAGTCCAATTCCAACCTATCTTTCTAAACTAGGATTTCTTAACCTGAGGTTTGTGGACCCCCCACACTTCCAAAGAACCCCTGGATAGATTTCAGGGCAGGATCTGTAAATTTATTGTATTAATAATTTGATAACTCTATTTCGGTATAATTGGCTTCCTTTATAATCCCATGTATTTTATGCATTATGGGCGGGTAAATGGCATAGGGGATAGAGTGCCAGACCTGGAGTCAGTAAGGCTAGAGTTCAAATCTAACCTTAGACACTTACTAGCTTTGTGACCCTGAGCAAGTTACTTAACCCTGTTTGCCTCAGTTCCTCATCTGTAAAATGAGCTGGAGAGGGAAATGGCAAATCACTCTTCCAAGAGTGTCTTGGAAGTATCTTTTCCAAGAAAACCCAAAATGAGGTCACAAAGAGTCAGACATGACCGAAATGACATATTTTGTGCATTTAAAAAATTTGAGAAGTGAGACCAAAGGCTTCACAAGACTGCCATAGGGGACAGTGATAAAAAGAGGTTAAGAATACCTTCACATTAGTTCCTATCACATAATCTTATTTTTTTGGCCAAACTGGCCTACTTCCTGGTCCTTGAGTATGACAGTCCATCTCCTGCCTTCATTCCTTTGTACAGGGTGCCCATCCTGAAAATTCTTTCCTTCTCAGGCCTCCCTCTTGGAAACCCTAGTTCCTTTCAAGCCTCAACTGAAATGCCACTTCCTACATGAGGCTTTTCCTGATGCCCCCTAGGTATTAATGCTTTCTTTCCCACAAAAATTACTTTGTATGACTTTATGTTGTTTGGCATGCTGAAAGGATATCCAGGTAAATCTTTATGAGCATGAAGTTGGCAAAGGGAGACTATACTTAAGAATGGGGCTGGAATATAGATTTGGGTGTCAACTACATAGAACTTATCATTTAAACCATAGAAGCGAATGAGATCACCAAGAGTATAGAAAAAAAAGTCTAGGATAGAGCTTTGAGGACACCATTGCTTAAGGAGTGAGAGAGGAATGATGGCCCAGGAAAAGAAACAGAGGAGTCTTCAGGATAAGAGAAGAACCAGGAGGAGCAGTATCATGGAAAGAAGAAATGAATTTGAGGTGGTCAGCCGTGTCAAAAGCAACAGACAAGTCAAGGAAAATGAAGACTATAAAATTACCATCAGATTTAGCCATAAGAAACCTTTGGCAATTTTTAAGAAAGCGTGTTTCAGTGGAGTAGTTAGGTTCAGAAGTCAATTTGCAAATGCTTGAGAAGTGATAAGGAGGTAAGGAAGTAAATGGAGTGAGTATAAGCAATTCTTTACAGGAGTTGGGCAGTGAAAGGGAAGATAAATAGAGTGGTAGATTGATGGGACAGCAGGGTCAAGTGAAAGCATTTGAATGATGGGGGAGACTTGGACATGTTTCCAGGAAGAAGAGGCGTCAGGAAAAAGGGAATGTTTAAAAATGTCAGAGGAGGGAATAATCAATGGGACAAGTTCCCAGAAAAGACAGGATGGAATGCAATTGGGGCACAAATTAAGAGGTGAGCCTTGACAAGGAGAAGGCCCAACTTTTCCTTAGAGACTAGAACAGAAGAGGAAGGGATGAGTGGTAATGTAAAAGAAGTTTTTGATCAAAAGGAACCTATATGATTTTCTTACTAAAATAGGAGGTAAAGTCACCTGCTCCAAGACTGGAATGAGATATAGCATTGAAGGCTTGATAGAGGTCAAGAGAAGGACTATACCCTTTCAGGAGGTGGAACAGAGAGCTGTCAGTGAAGAATAGCAAGACTGTTGTGCAGTGGTGAGGATCCACTTGAGATGGCATATAGATGGGAAATGGTATTATTTTTCTTATCAATAGGATAAAGCTTATCCTTATTTAAAATCATAGTATTGCGATAGCTGAGTCAAATGGTATGATCAGTTTTGAAACTCTAATTATATAATGACAGCTTAGTCTCCAAAAAGTCTAGGCCTATTTATAGTGCCACTGGTATTGTAATAGCGGTCCTGTTTTCATCCCTGGGGCTCTGACGATATTGTGTTTTATCATTTTAAACTGTTTTTATCAATTTGATAGTCTTAAATTATTTTAGTACATATTTCTTTATTAGAGTTTGAAGAATTTTTCAAGTGGTTATTAACAATTTGTTTCCTAGTTTGTGGATTGTATGGTTATATCCATTTGCCATTTGTACATTGGAAGAATGGAAAATACTTTTTAAAAATTTATACCAGTTCTTTATACATTCTGGATGGAATTTTTATAGCTATGTTAAAACAAAGATTTTCTCCCCCTAAATGTCATCAGTGGATAGAGCATTTTAGTTGAAGTTAGGAAGTCCTAAGTTCAAATCCAGCCTCAGACACTTAGTAGCTCTGTGATACTGGAAGAGTCATTTAATCTTTCTATGCTTTGGTTTTCTCATCTGTAAAATGAGGATGATAAAAATAGAACCTAACTCCCAATATTTTTGTGAGGATAAAATTAGACATTTGTAAAGTATTTTACAAACATTAAAGTGCTATGTAAAATACTATAATTGGTAGTAGTAATAATAATAATAAAATATAATTTCAATAATTACTGCTTTGTAATATGTCTTAAAGTCTGACAGGACAAGCCTCCTTTTCATAGTTCCGTTTACTATCTTGCCCAATTAGTTTTCTATGTAAATTTTGTTATTTTATATAATTTGTGAGTAGTAGATAAAGGGTTCCGCTTTGAAGTCAGGAAGGCCTGAGTTCAAATTCTGCTTCTAATATTTACTGGTTGTGTGTACAAGGACAAGTTACTTAACCTCTCAATGTCAACAGGCGACTCTTAAAAGACTAGGGGTTATAAAGAAGTGACATTTCGCATTGTTGAGGGATTTTTCCACACTGGGAATTCCCTACCTCAGTGAAATCACAATTCTTGGGTAGGATCTGAGTGGAAGCAATATATAAATAAACTCTTATTAGGCAGCCTATTAATAATTTAATTGGTATTATAGATGATCTCTAAATTAATGTGGGATATATTTAACTTATTTTGGTTCAATCTAGCTATGAGCATGGGATATCCTTCCTAATTATTTAGTTCTTCATTTATTTCTGTAAAAATCATTTTATAGTTGTCTTCATATATCTCTTGTTTAAATGTTGATACATTTTGTCATTATTATAAATGGTATTTCCTTTTCTGTTAGTTTTCAGTAGTGGTATATAAAAATACAGGTGATTTTTATAGATTTATCTTATCATATATTGTCTCATTTCTTAATTAA